TTTTTTTTTTTCACTAAACTTTATTGCTATCACATACGGGGTCTAATAAAAGCCCCCTATGTGATAGCAAAATATGTGACATGTCCTCTTTATGGAGACATCAGGGGTCTCCAAGACCCCTAATGTCACCTAGGACCCCCCAAAAGAAGCTGATGAAGCACAGATCTGCTCCATCAGCTTCTTTGCAGCTTCTGAAGCTGGAGAGTGACACAAGAATGCGGAAGTGATGTATTATACACCACTTCCGCATTCTTTCAGAGGAGAGGGGACCGGAGGGAGCTCTGATCCACCATGCTGATCTCGGGCTCGCAGCGGGCACAGCTGGGGGGAGGGGGGCCGCACCGATCGTTGCAAAATACAAGCGATCCGCCGGCTCTACAGCCGGCGGATCGCTTGTATGTTAACAGGCACCGCTGCCGGTTTTTAAATTGCGGTCATTTCCCGCTCGCGCGCGCCGTGTCTGAGCGGACGTCTAAAGACGCCCGCTCAGATCTAGAGAGCTCCGGCCGGCCGTTTTTTTTACTACGGCCGGCCCAAGGTGGTTAAACACTATTTAAAAAAAAAAAAAAAAACATTTTGGCTGCAGATGTCAGCACTTGGTGTATGCTGCTTTTCCATTTTTTGTTCCCTTTTTCAAGTTTTTGGTGTCCCCGTTGCCTTGCATGGTCCTATGGAGCCCCACCATAGCCACCCATTTGTGCACACGTCTCGTGAGAGGACTATAGCCTGATGTGAGGATGCTGCTTGCACCGACACGCAAAGGAAGACCACACACAAACTCTTCTCATTTGCCTTCAAGGGAAATGATTGACAGTAGTGCTGTCTTGGGAGCTTCTGTCAATCACTTCCCCTGGAGGAGGATCAGAGGTGTGTCTTGTGTGTGTGTCGGTGCATGCAGCATCCTTGCATTGGCCAAATCTATGAATGAACAATCGTGGGACATACAGGATGTAGCCTTGAGCAGTGTAATGAGGTGATGAGATATTGAGTGTGCGCTTCCTCACTGGAAGGTTAGGGGAGGCTGCGCAGAGAAAGCCGGAGGTTGCGGCTGTACAAGGATGGCAGTATGTCTCTGGACCTTTTTGGAAGTAGTCGGTTTTTCTGCGATTTTATATTTTTCGGTATCGATATGTTTCTGACAAAAAAAAAAAATGTGGCTTTAATATCTTATTTTTTTTCCAGGTCGATAGATTTGAAGAGGAAGTAAAACGCCTGAAGACGAGCAATGAGAATCTACAGAAACAAGTGGAGGATCTCATGAATAAGTTAAAAGAGGCAAGTCTGTGTGGTTTTAGATGGATAATGTGAATTAAGGGTTGGGAAGTCCATCTTTTTCATTACTGTAATGCAGTCAGGCGGCACAGGTATATTTTAAGTACTGGTAACTGGGATTATAATGCCTTCTGCTGAATATCCAGACCACTGCCCACCACAGAGCACAGAGATCCGGGGGCCCCAGCAGTCTGACGTTCCCTGCACAATGCTCAAGACAACAGCACTTCTAAGTGTCAGTTTTATCCCTTCAATGAGAAGTCGGTAACTATTCTACCTTGACTGCCTATAGGCGATCCCTAAAGACTCATCTCTTCAGGGACGCCTATCCCACCTCAACCTAACCGCTCAACCATTCATCCCCACACAGCTACCTCCTCATGTATCACTGGCCCCTCCCCTTTTAGATTGCAAGCCCTCAGGGGCAGGGCCCTCCTTACCATCCTGTCTTGAATTGTATTGTACAGCGCTACGCAAACTGTTGGCGCTATATAAATCCTGTATAATAAGAATAGTCCTGTCCTTCCCCATGTGGTGGATCAGCAAATCGTGATCATAATGAAATCTTTTACTTTTTGTGGAGATTCCTCTGCCATTGAGGACTCTGACTAGAAACTGAAGTCTCTCTAGAGCAGGGGTCTCAATCCTCCTGCCCCCCCAGCTGGGGTGGAACTACAAATCCCATGAGGCATCGCAAGATTCTCACAACCACAGACGTGACTCCCGAAGAGAGATGCATCATGGGATTTGTAGTTCCACTGCTGGAGGGCCGGGGGTTTGAGACCCCTGCTCTAGAGCCATGTTCAGGTTGTCGGGTACTGCAGCCTGTTTTGGCCGTGGTTTGCTAGATTGTCACTGACTGGTCTAGATGCTTGCAGCAAGACCTGATAGACAGTATCCCTGGAAATTTCATTCAGCAAAGACTACAGGCGCTAAAATTTCAGACTGACGCTGTGCCGTTTAGTCCTCATCTCCTCTTGTTCATACCTGGATCTTCCACTGGTTCCAAAAGACTCAAACAACCCAAGACCTCCAAACCTGAGGATGATTCTTCCTCCCCATGGCGGGTCCTCTTCCTCCCCATGGCGGGTCCTCTTCCTCCCCATGGCGGGTCCTCTTCCTCCCCATGGCGGGTCCTCTTCCTCCCCATGGCGGGTCCTCTTCCTCCCCATGGCGGGTCCTCTTCCTCCCCATGGCGGGTCCTCTTCCTCCCCATGGCGGGTCCTCTTCCTCCCCATGGCGGGTCCTCTTCCTCCCCATGGCGGGTCCTCTTCCTCCCCATGGCGGGTCCTCTTCCTCCCCATGGCGGGTCCTCTTCCTCCCCATGGCGGGTCCTCTTCCTCCCCATGGCGGGTCCTCTTCCTCCCCATGGCGGGTCCTCTTCCTCCCCATGGCGGGTCCTCTTCCTCCCCATGGCGGGTCCTCTTCCTCCCCATGGCGGGTCCTCTTCCTCCCCATGGCGGGTCCTCTTCCTCCCCATGGCGGGTCCTCTTCCTCCCCATGGCGGGTCCTCTTCCTCCCCATGGCGGGTCCTCTTCCTCCCCATGGCGGGTCCTCTTCCTCCCCATGGCGGGTCCTCTTCCTCCCCATGGCGGGTCCTCTTCCTCCCCATGGCGGGTCCTCTTCCTCCCCATGGCGGGTCCTCTTCCTCCCCATGGCGGGTCCTCTTCCTCCCCATGGCGGGTCCTCTTCCTCCCCATGGCGGGTCCTCTTCCTCCCCATGGCGGGTCCTCTTCCTCCCCATGGCGGGTCCTCTTCCTCCCCATGGCGGGTCCTCTTCCTCCCCATGGCGGGTCCTCTTCCTCCCCATGGCGGGTCCTCTTCCTCCCCATGGCGGGTCCTCTTCCTCCCCATGGCGGGTCCTCTTCCTCCCCATGGCGGGTCCTCTTCCTCCCCATGGCGGGTCCTCTTCCTCCCCATGGCGGGTCCTCTTCCTCCCCATGGCGGGTCCTCTTCCTCCCCATGGCGGGTCCTCTTCCTCCCCATGGCGGGTCCTCTTCCTCCCCATGGCGGGTCCTCTTCCTCCCCATGGCGGGTCCTCTTCCTCCCCATGGCGGGTCCTCTTCCTCCCCATGGCGGGTCCTCTTCCTCCCCATGGCGGGTCCTCTTCCTCCCCATGGCGGGTCCTCTTCCTCCCCATGGCGGGTCCTCTTCCTCCCACCCCCCCCACTCCCGCAATACAATGTCCTTGTATTGCGGGAGTGTGTACAGCATATGTATATTTTTACAGGTTTAAGCCCTCGTTCACACCTAGGCGTATTGCATATGCACGTCTGTTGCGCGTTTTTTTACCGCGATTCGCGGGAAAAAAGTTGCGCGATTCCCAAGGCTACTTGGCTGTATCCCAATGGAAAATGCCCTACAAAACGGCCCAAAGTAGTACCTGGACCTTTTCAGGTGTGGATTGTTTTGTAAGGCGTTAGGGACGGGAGGAAATACAGCAAGGTGGGAACGAGACCCATTGACTACAATGCAGTTTATATTTTTGACCGTTTTGTAGAGCGTTCGTCGAGCGTAGAACGCGCTACAAAACGGTCAGGTGTGAACGAGGGCTAAGGATTTAACTTTGGTTTTTTTTCTTTTGTAGGCAAAGGAGCAGCAGTCAAACGCAGAGGACAAGTTTCATAATGAGCTGAAAGCGAATGTCAAACTATGTAATCTCTATAAGGTATGCGGGTTCTTGAATAAGGGTTTGGTTTATTTGGGGGGGCGGGTGTACTAGGTTTTCTAACCTGTGCACAGTTCACATTTGGTGGGTAGACATCTACAATCTAATGCAAAACCTTTTGAGGGTTGTAAAGAGGAGAAGGTGATTAGAGGTGCTTGCACGCTGCTCCTTGTGCTTTGTGGATTGGTGTCTGACAACCAATAGATTTGCAGCTGGAATTTCAGACCTCGCATGGATTTTACACAGCAGCAGAAGGGCCGGTGTTAGAGATCAGTGTCCCGTACAGTGTACCTGACAGAGTTACCCTCCATGTCTCCTTATATACATGCTACACACCCGCCCCAATATACCTTTTAAGTACCCAATGCCTGGTGTCTTCTCGTACACCGCAGAGGACTTCCACCCCTTTAAAAAGAGCCCCTCCAGCGCCCTGCCATTACTGAAGTGAGCCATCTGTTCAGTTTCCAGAAAAATGTCGCCCCATAATGCACCAGTGATTGTGCCGTGAAGGACGCTTCACAGCACTTGCCTCCCTGCCTCTCCGCCACTGCTAATCGATCGATGAGGGAGGTATTAGTAAGCAGATGAGATATTTGGGCTGACACTGCACTATTCTCGCACTGAAATTACGCTGCATCAGGGCTGCTCACGGGTAGCCAGTCTGGCTTGTGCTGACCTGATGCAGCCCAGGCTTGGTATGGGAGTACTGGCTGCACCCCTATTAGGACGTGGGCATGCAGGCATCTCCGGGTGCTTGCTGTTTTTACCTTCGTGTATTATTTTAAATCATCACAGGTATACTTTGTCTCGGTGACTCAGTAGTAAGGTTTTGGTTAGTAGAAAATATAAACCTCTTGCTCTTATGTCCTATACCTAAGGTGTATAAAACTCGCTAAGAAGTAACCTTTAAATAAATGTTGTTGGCAGCCCTTACATCTGTTAACGGAGAACTATGAGATGAGTGATTTTCACTCATCCTCATAGTTCGAGCCGACCTGTGACAATGAAACTGTCACACGTCGGCTCAATAGATCGGGAAGTGAGGGAACACATACCGTCGCTTGCTCACTTCTCGATCATCTCCCTGCAGAGAGCCGTGACTGTCAGTCACTGCTCCCTGCAGGGATTTCCCCCCCTACCTTGTCCGATCCTTCAGCGCTGACTGAAGGAACCAACGGGGGAGTGGGCGGGTACAGCTGGCTCTGCCTCTGGATAGGCAGAGCCAGCTGTCACTCACGCAGCTGGGTGGATCTCGACAGTAATGTCGGGATCCGTCCCGGCTGCGGCGGTCTCAGTATGCAGCTCGCGGTATACTGAGCTTAGGGTGACGGGAGGACGCTAGTTTATGTCCTCCCGTGACCCCGAGGAGAACTATGGGGGAAAGCCCTGACCTCGCAGTTCTCCTTTTTAAAAGAAAGTAAAACTCCGGCTCAGTCACTTGTCATTGGTGCCTCTAAAATGAATATGGTAGAAAATAACAGATTGTCATTATCATATATAAGGCAGTGACTTGGAATTCTGTTTATATTGTTAAGCTGCACTATAAGGGACAAACTTGAGTCGCTTTGTTGACTTCAGTTTAACATGAAAACCCATCTTGTGTATTTTACTAATCCCGCTATGTTCCTTTTGTGTGCGCTGTGAGTGGATTATTCACTTATTCAAGGCAATCGCTAATGGCGCTCGAGTCCTCATAGAAGGGGTGTCAAAAGCAAGTTCCTGTACGTCGTCCTCCAGCTTTCCCTCTCACTTCTGGGTTTTTCCTTTTACAATAACTATGGAGTAGGGACTGTTCCTTACATGTGCAGTAAAAACTTAATTTCTAACTTTTCTATTTCTGTACTTTTGGTCCAGAGCGCAGCCGAAGATTCAGAGGCGAAGGGTGCAGAATTGACCCGAGCTGTGGAAGAACTTCATAAACTCCTCAAGGAAGCTGGAGATGGTAAATGGCTTTTTGTGTGTCATTTATTTTCATTGCAGCCTGCGATATCCTGGGTTTAACCCCTTCATGACTGAGGCCCTTTTTTCATTTTTTGCACCCATGTTATATTGCACATTTTAGGCCTGAAAATGACGTAAAACCCCCCAACATTATATATTTTCTGAATGCCAAGACCCTATAGAATAAAATGGTGGTAGTTGAAAATTTTTATGTTGCGCAATATTAGCGCAACTCCTTATTAAACCCAGGGGAAATGAAAAACAATTCCCTTGTAGTGGGGCTCCTCCTGCACCATAAGCATTAAATGGATGTTTTTGCCTAGGGCACCTGTAAAAACTACTTTCCCTAGGCTCCGCCCCTTTAGCAGGAAACACGTTAACCCCCCTTATACCTTGCTGGTACAGGCTCCTCCTCATGTAACTGGTCCCTGCAGCCTCTTCTCTTCAGCGTTTCAGCTCTGATGTCGTTGTGTGCAGTGTAGGACCATTAGTCCTGCACTGTGAGGATGCCGAGGGCCTGCCCACATCCAGGAGCATTGGAGGGACAAGCTGATGCCAGCTGCCGGGGGGGAGGGGGAGGAAGAGGAGTGTGAGGAATAAGCTTAGTTAACATCCATGGCGTTATTCCCGAGTGTGGCTCGGGGTTAATTTTCAGTACCATAAGCGGTACCCCCCGAGCCACACTCGGGATTACAGCGTAGCGTCTCTTACCTTGTCCACGATCCCCGCTGTGTCCTCCGGCCGATGCCGGCATCCGGGTTCCGTCCCTTGCGAGCGTCCGCGTCGCAGGGGGCGGAACCGGCGGGAATTTTAAGAGTAAAAGAAAACAAACAAAAAAAGAGAACAAAAAATAATAATCAGACCGCCAGGTAGGTTAAAGTGCTTTTTGCTTATACTCTAGGCTAAGGTAAGCGTTTAACCCTTGCAGTGTAGGGGGTGGCAGTTTGTGTTTTTTGCCTTTTTTTTTTTTATCTTGCAGTCACATGATGTAGCTTGTGTACCGCACACATCCCACTGTCACTGATACTGGGGCAAAGATTAGTTTTAGCTTGTGGCGAAGCTCTGAGCCCAAGAGTTTTATATAAAAACATCCCCGGTATCCGTTTTTAGATGTGTCGGAGCTGTTCCTCCATACTGGCCACTGGGTGCTGCAGATTTTAGATGCGTAAGCCGCTGCTCGGTTGCTTGATTACACTCCTAAAGCTACTTCTGAAACAGATTGCACAGTAAATGTCTGCAAAACCCAGTGGTCAGCAGGGAGGAGCTGGAGGTCTGCTTAAAGGAGAACTATGAGGGGGAGGGGGGGGGGGACAGAATTGTCGGTATCCGTCCCGGCTGCGGCGTCTCAGTATACCGTGAGCTACAGCTCCCTATATACTGAGCCTAGGGTGACGGGAGGACGCTAGTTTGTGTCCTCCCGTTACCCTAAGGAGAACTGTGGGGAAAAGCCCTGACCCTATAGTTCTCTTAATAGTGTTTCTACAGGGATCACAGCTTTACTGTTGAGACCCCTGTTTTTAATGCAGCCTAGGGATGCCCAAACAACTTTTACAGGCTCTTTGTTGTCCTACACTCGAGTTTCCCAGATGTGGTAAAAAGGAACTCTCAGCCACCACTCAAACCTACCTTGGCAGTGTGAATGTGGTACAGAAAGCAGGGAATGGGGCTTGGTGCGGTCTGTGTGAGGATTTTACCCTTGTGTATCGATCACATTTTTTTTTATGTTTGCTGTAGCTAACAGTACTCTCCATGATCAGTCCTCTGAGATGGAATCTGCAAAACATCAAGTTGAGAAAGACCTACGGGAGCGAATTGGCAAACTGGAGAAAGAGCTTGAAAATGCCAATGACTTGCTTTGTTCCACCAAAAGGAAAGGTAATCTTTAAACAATTCAGTTATGTTCCAGTCAGAGCCTCGCCTCATCACCTCTAGGCTACTGGCCATAGGTGAATTATCCTAATGCACGGGTAGGCAACCTGGGGAAGTTAAATGGAGAGGGCCTAGCTGGCCATATTAAAAAAGTAAAGGTGGGTTTGAAGAGTTTGGGGATTGTTAGCGAGTTGCCTTTTCAGGTTAATGGACACTGGCAATGCAAAGCTCTTGGCACAGCTCTGTTTCTTCCACTCGCAGCCTCCCTAATTCTTTTTGTTTGTGTACTTAGGTCATGGCGGCCTTCTCTCTGCTCTGAGAGAAATGCATCCTCTTCTACTCAAACTGTATTCAGTATAGAATGCATTTTTAGATTGTAAGCCCTCAGGGGCAGGGCCCTCCTTACCATCTTGTCTTGAATTGTATTGTGATTGTAATGTCTTCCTTATATTGTACAGCGCTGCGCACACTGTTGGCGCTATATAAATCCTGTATAATAATAATATGTTCTGCGGCCTCGGCCGTCTTTCTTGCCAAAGGTAGTTTCGGCTTTCCATCTCAATGAGGACATTGTCCTACCTTCCTTGTGTCCGAAGCCTGTCCACAGGAAGGAGAGGGCACTGCACTGTCTGGACGTGGTCCGCGCCATCCGGGTTTACCTGCGTTTCGGGAATCGGATTCCCTGTTTGTCGTTGCAAATGGCCCCCGGAAGGGCAGGGCTGCCTCGTCGGCTACCATCTCTCGATGGATTCGCGACACGGTATCTCAGGCGTATGCTATTAAGGGGCGTGAGCCTCCTTTTTATTTGACCATAGATACCCTTTACTGTTGCTGGCATACATGTGGGCCTTATTAGGTCACCCAAGGCCTAGATTAAGGAGAACTATGGTGTCAGGGCTTTTCTCCATAGTTCTCAGGGTAACAGGAGGACACAAACTAGCGTCCTCCCGTCACCCTAAGTTCAGTATATAGGGAGCTACAGCTCGCGGTATATTGAGACGGCGGAGCGGATCCCGACATCGATGTTGAGATCCGCCCAGCTGCGTGAGTGACAGCTGGCTCTGCCTATCTAGAGGCAGAGCCAGCTGTACCCGCCCCCTCACCTGTCCGTTCAATAGGCAGGACACCCCATCAACGCAGAAGCTGTTGCACTCCTGTGTTTACATGTCGCACATACGCATTGCGCACTTTCTCCTGTAGCAACACTGCCCTTTGGTCCTCTTAGCGATATACCTTTTGGCTTCTTATTTCACTGTCACTAGGTGGATTTGGCAAACTATCACTCAGGCCTATGAGTATAAGGGTGACGTTACACCATTTCCAGATGGTCCTTTTTGGGCCTTCCAGCATCTTCTCTGATCCACTTGGTACCTTGCTACAAAACTGGTACAGGCTGGGAGGGGTTATACAGGGGTGTCTTAACAGCTTTGATTTGCCAGTGTCCAATCACCCGAAGGTAGCTGCATAACCCATCTGTTCCAGACAAAAATCCTGTTTTAGGGTTTTTCTTTCAACTGATGGACACCCAATACTGACCGGTTTGGTACAATAAACACTCTCTGATCCACTCTCCTCTCTGCAACTCTCAGCAACACTCTCTGCAACTTCTTGCGGATATTAGTTTCAGCGTGTGACGAAGCTCTAAACCCGAACACTATATGAAAGAACATGTCCCCGGCATCCCTTTTAGAAGTGTGTGTTCCTCCTTGCTGGCCACTGGGTGCTACAGACTTCAGCTGTGCAGTCCGATTAGTTGCTTGCCTACACTCTTATGAGACCTACTTCTGGAACAGATTGCACAACAAATATCTGCCAGCGGCCTGCTGCATGGAACATACACGCCTAAAGGGGACGCCTGGGATGTGTGCTTTCATGTAATGTTCAGGCAAGAGGACAAGTGTCACGTGGGGGCAGGTTCATGGGAAGGAAAAGAAGTGCAGGACTTCCTCTCAGGGGAAAAACTAGATCATGCACAGTGAGTGGCGATTGTTGAAGGTGGTGGAATTGCGTTGCCACTCGAAATAGTGGCGTAGAGGAAAATGACAGGATGAACCAGACATTTACAATCTAAGAATATATAAATGAAAGGAACGTTAAGCACCCAATAAGAGCAATTCATTTAAAGTGACATTAAACCCTCAGATTTTTGAACATAAACCAATACTGTAATGTGCACCTTACTGTAATCCATGGTAGTTTCCCTTCTCTTTGCTGCTCTTCCTTTTAAATCCTCATGTCTTCTCATGCTGGGGGAGAACTTCCCTTTGCAGCTGAGTGCCTCTTCCTGTAGTGCTGGCTCAGGTTACAAACCTACACGCAGAAACCGTGTATCCATTCCTGAGACAAGGCAGTCTGCTGCAAAACTGAAGATCTGCCCAGCATGAGAAGAGATGAGGATTTAAAAGGAAGAGCAGCAAAGAGAAGGGAAACGACTATGGATTACAGTAAGGCGCACATTACAGTATTTTATGTTAAAAATATCTGAGGGTTTAATGTCACTTTAAGAGCCAACAGCACAAAAATGTTGGGCACTTTAAACGCTTCATTTGTTATTTTTAATTTTAGGTGCTCTGCTGAGTGAGGAGGAATTAACGGCCATGTCGCCTACAGCTGCTGCTGTGGCCAAAGTTGTACGACCCGGAATGAAGTTAACTGAGGTAAAAGGGGCCTATTTACTGGGGGTACTTGCCTTTTATCTAAGTTTAAGGGCTTGTTCACACCAAGCGCGGAGCAGATCCAGAGCAGGTGCAGACCGGATCAAAACTGCGTCCAATGTATTCCTATGGTGTTTTTTGCTCCAGTTCACATCGCAGCGTGCAGTTGCAGAGCAGATCCAGAGCAGGTGAAAAAAACTGCAGCAGGCCCTATGTTACCTGCTCCTGGATCTGCTCTGGAACGCATCAAAAACGCATGCCAATGCCTGGAACACACTGAAAGCCCATTTTAAACTTAATTTTTTTTTTTTTTTTACCAAAAAGAGCCCAAAACGCGTCAGACTAGTGTGCATGTGCAGAAACCTGACCGGATCTGCTCTGCATTTGGTGTGAACAAGGCCTTATACAGAGTGAAATTATGGAAGACTCCATATGTGTGACTGCTTTCCCCCCCCTCCTGAATGCAGCTTTACAATGCGTACATGGAAACACAAGACCAACTGCTAATAGAAAAACAAGAAAACAAAAGGATCACAAAGTATTTGGATGACATAGTGAAAGAGGTGGAGGCCAAGGCACCAATCCTGAAACGGCAGCGGGAGGACTACGAGCGGATGCAGAGATCTGTGGCAAACTTGTCTGCTAAACTGGAGCAGGCAATGAAGGTATTTTCGCCCCGAAAGCTTTTTTCACTCCTTCCTCTCCTCTTAGCCCTTTTATCTGCTGAAATAAAGTCGCATCCATAAGGCATCATTGATCACCGAAAACATGTTTGTTCAGCATTCTTTGTTTTTTCCCCAAGGAAATTCAACGGATGCAAAATGAAACGGATAAATCCAACAAGATCGCATCGATTGCTGAAAGGGAGAACCAAAGGCTGGAGCTGCAAGTGAAAGATCTTTCTCAGCAGGTGAGATCGAAAGCCGCCTCTTGTCTATATGTGTATGTATAAAAACTAGGGCTGATAATAATTAACATTTTCATGTTCGATTAATCAAATTTGTAAAAAATCGATTAATCAATTTCGATTAATTATAACGCACATACAGATCCAGCTACATTGGCCTATACACATACAGCACAGCAATGAAGTCATAAAATGAACTAGGATCACACTAATCCAGCACGTTATTAATCTCACGTGCCCCACTCAATATGGCCGCCGCTAGAGTGGGGCAACTCGGAATAATAACGTGCTGGATTAGTGTGATCCTAGTTCATTTTATGACTTCATTGCTGCGCTGTATGTGTATAGGTCATTGCTGTGCTGTATGTGTATAGGCCAATGCCTTGGCTGGCGCTTGTGCAGAAAGTTTCTTGGGCAAACTCACCGGCCCAAGTGGCTCCGTCGGCTAACGAAGGGGGGGGGGGGGGTGCACTCCTCCCCCTTCCCTTCGTTAGCCGTCACGGACATTGACGTCACCGGACTCCTCCCCCTTCCCTTCGTTAGCCGTCACGGACATTGACGTCACCGGACTCCTCCCCCTTCCCTTCGTTAGCCGTCACGGACATTGACGTCACCGGACTCCTCCCCCTTCCCTTCGTTAGCCGTCACGGACATTGACGTCACCGGGCTCCTCCCCACTTCCCTTCATTAGCCGACGGAGCCACTTGGGGAAGGGGGGAGGAGTCCGGTGATGTCACTGGATCGCCGACGGGACTCCCGGAAGCTGGCGGAGAGGCGAGTGTTTTCATTAGCGATCAAAATAATTTTAATCGATCAAAAAGTTTTTTAACGATTAATCGAGAAATTAATCTTTCATTTCCCCAGCCCTAAAAAAACATTATATATATTCTCTATCCTCTATCTCTCTGACAAACCATTCTATGGTAGGTTTTCTTCCTCCTTGAGGAGTGTGTAAACCTGAACAATGAACTTCAATTTTCTCCCTTTTTTGGTCTGCTTAATATACCATTGAAACTGTTTTGTTCATCTGTTCGTGCAACATAACATTATGACCTCCTGAGAGGTAGTGAATAACATTGATGATCTGGTGTCAATGGCACCTGGAAGCGGGCAGTGTGTGTATTGGGCAGCAAGTGAACATTTTATCCCTGAAGTTGATCTGTTGGAAGCTGAACAAATGAGCATGCGTAAGAATTTGAGATAATAGAAAAGATTCTGGAGATCAAATTGCTGATAAAGTGAATGCTGGTTCTGATAGAAAGGAGTCTGGACACACAGAGCATCGCAGGTTGTTGCGTATGGGGCTGTGTAGTTGCAGACCGGTCAGGGTGCCCCATGCTGACCCGTGTCCACCTCCAAAAGCACCTACAATGGGCACGTGAGCATCAGAACTGGAGCGATGGAAGAAGGTGGCCGGGTCTGATGGATCATGAGGATGGCCGGGCGCATGTGTGTCACTTAGCTGTTGAAGAGATGGCACCAGGATGCACTATGGGAAGAAGACGAGTCGGCGGGAGTAGTTTGATGCTTTGGGCAATGTTCTGCTGGGAAACCTCGGGTCCTGCCATTCATGTGGATGTTACTGTGACCCGTACCACCGACCTAAACATTGTTACTGACCAAGTCCCCCCCTGTTCATGGAGACGGTATTCCCTGATGGCAGCGGCCTCTTTCAGCAGGATAATGAGCCCGGCCACACTGCACACATGGATGAAGAATGGTTTGAGGAACACAACACGGAGTTTGAGGTGATGACTCGGCCTCCAAATTCTCCACATCTCAATCCAATCATCATCTGTGGGATGTGCTGGAAAAACAAGTCTGATCCATGGAGGCCGATCACATCACAACCTATAGGATTTAAAGGATCTGCTACTGACGGCTTGGTGCCGGATACCACAGCACACCTTCAGAGGTCTAGTGGAGTCTATGCCTGGAGAAGAGGGATCTACTTAATGTTAGGGGGTGCTCAGAATGTTATGGCTGATCGGTGTAGATTGTCGGTAGTATTAACATGGCGGTTTGAGTCTCTCGTAGCAGTTTTATTACCTGTTGATTCTACCAATAGACTTGTCTGTCTCTTTTCCCCTTTTTCGTAATTGTATAATTTTTTCTTTTTCTTTTTTTATTGTTACTCGTATGATCATTTTGTCATTTTGTACACCAGATCAGAGTTCTTTTAATGGAGCTGGAGGAGTCGAGAGGAAACCATGTTCAGAGGGAGGAAGATGTGAGCTCTGCCAACATCACTAGCTCCTCCGAAGTTATAACTCAGCATTTAGTTACTTACAGAAACATCGAAGAGTTACAGGAACAAAACCAGAGACTGCTGGTGACCCTGAGAGAGCTCGGAGAGGCCAAGGAGAAAGAGGAGCAAGAACTCGCTGCTTCACAGTAAGAATCAGAGAGTGTGTGTGCGTGTGTGTGTGTGTGTGTGCGTGTGTGTGTGCGTGTGTGTGTGCGTGTGTGTGTGTGTGTGTGTGTGTGTGCGTGTGTGCGTGTGTGTGCGTGTGTGTGTGTGTGTGTGTGTGCGCGTGTGTGTGCGTATAGGTCCCTGAGTGTTCTCATTCTTAAGAGTACCTATGTGCGTGTGTGTGTGCGTGTGTGTGTGCGTGTGTGTGTGCGTGTGTGTGTGCGTGTGTGTTAATGTTTACAATTTTCGTGTTCGATTTTAATCGAATTTTTTTAACATCGATTAATTATAACGCGCATACAGATCCAACTACATTGGCCTATACACATACATTAAACAAAAAGACACACTGCGCTATCTTTAATATTATAAAACTTAGTGACAATTATACAACATGTTCACTCCAACTTATATATAGTCCATATAAAAATATTCCCAAAGTTGATGTGATTAAAAATAAATGTGATGAAATCCTTGTGTTCACTTTCTTTACATCAGTGAGTCAAATAATCATTGTATATAAAGTTCCACAATCACTCGTGACTTCTGTGCTTCAATTCCACGTCAATTAATCACCAGTGATCCACCTCCAGGTGCACAAACACTAGCACACTCACCAGATAATTCTGACCACCCCGTGGTCTTCAAACGCTCTGCAAAATTCTCTGGTGTCCGTTGTCTCCCTCACCACTGATCACCAACAGCTGAAAATGATGAGTCTGCCCGATGTCTCTCCCAAATCTCTCTAATTTCCGCTCAAAATAGAAAACCAAGATGGCACATAGTGTAAAACTGCTAGATGATGTTTATTTATAAAAATCAGAACACTTACATTTAAAAGAGTATTTCAGCGCTGTAAAAACATAAAATCGGCTTGTATGAGCTCAGCTCTGTCTCCTCCACTCCATTCACTAGCGTCAGCGTGTAGCTCCTCCCCTACGCGTTTCGTCCACCCTTGAGAAAGTCCATTGGTGTCTTTTTGTTTAATATATTGTGGGAGAAGTTTATATAGCTTCTCTCTATCTCTGCAGCTGTCAATAGGGTGTTTTTGAGGAGATTGGGGCAGAGCACTATAGCGCGGATAATCATTTGTTTTGCTATACAGATACAGCACAGCAATGAAGTCATAAAATGAACTAGGATCACACTAATCCAGCACGTTATTAATCTCACGCGCCCCACTCAATATGGCCGCCGCTTGAGTGGGGCAACTCAGAACAATAACGTGCTGGATTAGTGTGATCCTAGTTCATTTTATGACTTCATTGCTGTGCTGTATGTGTATAGTTCATTGCTGTGCTGTATGTGTATAGGTCATTGCTGTGCTGTATGTGTATAGGCCAATGCCTTGGCCTTGGCTCGTGCCGAAAGTTTCTTGGGCAAACTCACCGTCCCAAGTGGCTCCGTCGGTTAACGAAGGGGGAGGAGTCCGGTGACGTCACGGACAGCTGCAAATGCTGTGTCCCAGGCAGTTCTGCCATTGACTGCAAGCTGTAGAGGAACTACAAATCTCAGCAATACATTATATATCAATGCAGAATACCACCAGCTATAGGGAACTACAAATCCCAGCAATAAGCTATACAGCAATGCAAAATTAATACCATTAGCTAGAGAGGACTATAAATCTCAGCAATCCGTTATACAGCAATGCAGAATGGCAACCGGTTATAGAGGACTACAACTCCCAGCAATACATTCTACATTAATGCAGAATAATAACAAGCTACATACTCTGCTGCTCCGGTCTGCCTGCCTGATGTCTCAAGAGGAGGATCTCAGGGTGGCCGTGCAGAGTTTCACTAGGGGTCAGGTTGGTCTTGCGGGTGGAGGCGGCGTGGTTATAGGAAGGAGGAGTAGATGTGCGACCGGAGCTGTAAACAGGCGCCGCGGTATATAGGAAGGCTGCCTCAGGGCTTAAGTTTTAAAATGTAAAGTGCCGGTATTTGCGCATAGTATCGGGGGATTTGCACAAGTACTTGTGAAAATCCCCTTTATCTGCCCCTTGTGTCTGTGCATCCCGCATTTTAAGCATGGGCTGCAATATGCAATAGTACTACAAACTGTAACCGAGCACATTTTTTTGTTATGAAGATAGTTATATCTATAGTGCGCTTCTTGGTTGTGAAGTACTGTAATGGGTGGACGCAATGTCTATTCACTCAGAACATATTGTATTTATTCTGATTTTTATATATTTTTTTTACTAGAATTTCTGACCTCAGAAAGAATTTAGAAAATGTGCAGACGGAATTGGAACAGCTCCGTGAGAATCGCCAACATCAAATGCACGTGTTAGAATCTACAATACGACAGCGTGACATGTATCGCATACTGTTGGCTCAGACAACTGGGGTCACATTTCCTGTAGCAGGTATATAGCGTGTCATGATTGACTTATTCTCACTAGTAGAGCGGAAAAAAGGCTTAAAGTGACATTAAACCCGCAGATTTATTTAACATAAAACAATACTGTAATGTGCGCCTTACTGTAATCCATGGTTGTTTCCCTTCTCTTTGCTGCTCTTCCTTTTTAAATCCTCATGTCTTCTCATGCTGGGGGAGAACTTCCCTTTGCAGCTGAGTGCTTCTTCCTATAGTGCTGGCTCAGGTTGTGAACCTTCACACAGACACTGTGTATCCATTCCAGAGACAAGGCAGCCTGCTGCAAACCAGAAGTTCTCCCCCAGCATGAGAAGAGCTATGGATTTTAAAGGAAGAGCAGCAAAGAGAAGGGAAACAACCATGGATTACAGTAAGGCGCACATTACAGTATTGGTTTATGTTAAAAAATCTGCGGGTTTAATGTCACTTTAATGTGTATCTAAACCCAAAAAGAAATGTCCTGTATTGCAGCTTACAAGTCCTTAGATGTGGCGGCTGCATTAGATCTCTTTTTTTTAATTTTCATCTGTTGATCCTGCCAGTAATGCACTTCCTGTCCTAGGGAGACAACACTCACTTACTGTACTATATCTATTACGAGAGCCATGGTGGTCATCCAGGTGGACTTTAAAGTGAAGCTATTCTTTTTATTTTTTTAATCTTATCGGTTCTTTTCTATTCATTTCTGTCACTTTGGACTTATGCAGCGATCCTCAAAGTCTTTGTCTGTTGGCTCTAGACCCTTGATTCTCAACTGGTGGGTCGTGACCCTGTGTTCAGTGGGTCACTGCATGCCTTCTGCTTTTCTAGGTAAGGCTCCTCAGCCTCCTCCATAGTGCAGCACTGTCAGTTCTCGTGCCAAGCGGCTATTAAAAATGTGCTGCCTGCTGCCAAGTGTCATCTTGAGGTGGGGTGGGCTAGGACTATGGCCACGGGAAAGCTCCATCCATACGTGCGTTGCTTACAGCTCCCTCACATGTCCTGGACCGGAGTGACAGCTCCCAGCACCTCTACAGTGCATGCAAGGGAGCTGTACAAGCAACGCACATATGGATGGAGCTCCGTCACAGCACAGCAGCCCCGGGCTGAGGATCCACTTCAGTTCTCGTAAGGTAGGGAGAGCGAGAATGTCTGTGGTTGTGTATGTACGTCTGTGTTTTTGAGGGCCCATTCACACAAGTACAGTGCGTTAATGGCATAGTGCTGCGCGAGTAACGCACTGCACCACGCAATCGCACCTACCATGCATTCTGGTGTGGGAGGTGATGCGTTGCCATTCATTTGAATGGTACCCTAAAAGCACCTCCCAACCACAGGTACCCTCATGCTGTGCGTTCCATTACAGTGTGACTTGGGGCGCAACCTAATGACCGAGGAAAAATATGTGTCCTGAGGTTACACGGGCTGAGAACCGCTGATGGAGTAGACATCCAGCTATGACGTTCAGTGCTGCACTGCCATTTCCTGTCCTGATGTCTGAACAATTCTTTCCCAATAATATCCTTTGTTCAATGAATGTTAATTGGGATTCATAAGACCTCTTCTTCTATTGTGTGTTAGATGAGGTAACCGTAACTTCAACTCCAAGGAAGTCACCAGGAACGTCTCAGCCCCCATCTACCCCGACCCCTGCAGTGCTGCATCCAGAATCCACCGAGGCTGCTGAAGCCAAGGCTGCTCTCAAGCAGGTGTGATGTCTATTTATCATTTAATCTAAAATGCTCCATATTAAAAGTTCTGGGTAATGTACAATATATCCGTGTACACTTACGGAGGACCTAAACTCAAAATGTGAAGATATGCTGTTGTATAAGTAACATCTAGAAATGTTGATGTGCCTGAGCAGTGCTCTGAAATTTGTACATATTGCCTTCATTAAAAAAAAAACAAATTGATTCCTGCGCCTCAGCCCTCCCCAGAGCCGTGCGCTTTCCTGCGCCTCAGCCCTCCCCAGAGCCGTGCGCTTTCCTGCGCCTCGGCCCTCCCCAGAGCCGTGCGCTTTCCTGCGCCTCGGCCCTCCCCAGAGCCGTGCGCTTTCCTGCGCCTCGGCCCTCCCCAGAGCCGTGCGCTTTCCTGCGCCTCGGCCCTCCCCAGAGCCGTGCGCTTTCCTGCGCCTCGGCCCTCCCCAGAGCCGTGCGCTTTCCTGCGCCTCGGCCCTCCCCAGAGCCGTGCGCTTTCCTGCGCCTCGGCCCTCCCCAGAGCCGTGCGCTTTCCTGCGCCTCGGCACCTATATACTGAGCTTAGGGTGACGGGAGGACGCTAGTTTGTGTCCTCCCGTTACCCTAAGGAGAACTATGGGGGAAAAGCCTTAACCCCATAGTTCTCCTTAACGCACTGCTGCCTCTGACTGCAGATTTGGAGTGATATTTGATGTCGCTACTGGCGCTGCTCACTGTTCTCTTTGCTGGAGAGGAAGCTGTACCTGACGAGCTGCAGTGCAAGGATCTCCATTTTGTAGATCCGTGCGCTTCTCATCTCGACCACTGCTTTTCCATCATTACCTGCTGCCCCCCTATGCACGCACGCACGCACCAGGTCACTAATCATCCAGAGGTTGTAAGAGGTTTCCCCCACCGCTTGTTGGGATTTGAACTTTAATCACGACCATCTCTCTTTTTATTTCACAGCTTCAAGAAATTTTTGAGAATTACAGAAAAGAAAAAGCAGAAAACGATAAAATCCTGGTTGAGCAGAATGAGAAACTCCAGGAGCAAGTGACCGAGCTGCGCTCTCATAATGCCAGGATCTCCACTCAGCTAGAATTCGCCTCAAAGCGGTAATACTAAAACTGAACTCCGGGCAGATGTGAAAGATGCAAATGAATGCAGCTCTCTAATCAGGAATACATAACTAAAATGTGTTGTTTTAGTACAAGCGGAGCCGGTACCTAAATTTTGGCAGGTTAGCAGCCTCTGTATAGCAGGGCTCAGACCGGGAGAGGAAGGAGCAGCACAGGGTGTGCTGTAGTGGTGATCTAACAAGGAGCATACTGATGAGAGGAGAGAGCGGAGTGACAGGGATGAGCTCATCAGTCTGCTGCTTCTCCTTCACTGTCTATTTTAAAGGGCTTGTCCCTCCCCCAGCCTGTAAGTGTTACTAAACTGCAGCAGAGGAAAATAATGCCTGCTGCTCAGCCGGACAGGGCTGTGCTGTGTGGCAGAACGGGGTAAATCTCAGGACTGGAGGGACAGAAATACAAATCCTCTGGCAGGTAACTGATCCCACCCTCCCGCTGCGTAGTATCTTTACCAAAACTCGGCACCCCGGGCCTCTTGTGTTTTTTACGTTTCATGCCACAAGCCCTCCCTTTGCTGTCTCTGTGCGGTAGATTACTGTAGATCAGGGGTAGCCAACCAGTGGTCTTCCAGCTGTGGTGGAACTACAAATCCCATGAGGCATTGCAACATTCTCACAGCCACAGACGTGACTCCCTGAGAGAGATGCATCATGGGATTTGTAGTTTTACCACAGCTGGAGGACCACTGGTTGGCTACCCCTGCTGTAGATATCTATGGAGCTCGTCTCCCGGCCAGGAGCCCTATGGAAGTCTACTGTTCAGGCATTGCCAAGAGAGATCAGACTTGTGCCGCGGGATGCAGGTCCCCTCGGGAGTCCACAGTCGTCGGATGGAGGCAAGCATACATCTGCAGAGGGGGACGGTGGGATCTGTGGGGGGTAAAAATATCAATGCACTTGGTTTTAAAGTGCTCGTAAACTTCTAATGTTCCATTTTTTTGGGGAGTTTTTTTGCTCATTTTTAAACCTTTTTTCTGGATCAGGTACGAAATGCTCCAAGACAACGTGGAAGGCTACCGTCGGGAAATCGCTTCTTTACAAGAGAAATCCCAAAAATTGTCGGCTACAACACAGAAGCAGGAGCAGATCATTCATACCATGACGCAAGATCTGAGGGCGGCCAGTGAGAAACTGGCGCTCGCTGAAGTAAGTGAAAGAACATCCATTATTGTATTTTTTTTAAAGACGGACCTTTTACACTCACAGATTGAGTGTTGTTGATCCCGGGAATATCCGATTGCCTTATGGGATCAGGAAGGAATTTTTTTCCCCTGTTGGAGCAAATTGAACCCCGTGCTTTATAGGGGGTTTTTTTTTTTTGCCTTCCTCTGGATCAACAGGGGGCCATTGTGGTCATAGTGTTCTGTTTAGGCTTTTCTTCTTCTTTTTTTTTCTTTGCATCTCTATAGGTTGGACTCGATGGACTTGTGTCTTTTTTTTCAACCTGACTAACTATGTAATGACATCACTGGGTCCGATGCATATTTACTGAGACTTGCCGCCCCGGGCCTCCTCTATGCAGCATCTCGCACCACAAGTCCTCTTTCCCCGCTGTCTCTATGCGGTAGATCCCTATAAAAGTCTATAGGGTTCATCTCCCAACCAGGAGACAGAGGTAGAGGTGCTCCATGGAGGTCTATGGAGCATTGCACAGAGAGACAGTGATGTCATTGGATCTATAATAAGAAATGCAATGACAGCAAAGGTTTTATTTATAATGTCCGTAGCATGTTGATGACGGTAGAAATGAGGAGCCAGGGAAGAAGAGTGAAAATGCTCCCCTTTCCTGCTGCCCACCCCATTTACATTCCAGTCCAATCCTGAGAGAGATTTTTCTCATGTCTGGTTGTGATTTTTTTTTTTTATAAGGTTAAAGCAGAAAATCTGAAACGCGAGAAGGAACTTTTGAAGATGACCGAAACTCGCCTTAGCCAAGAAAGAACAAGCTTACTTGCTGAACAAAGGGGCCAAAACTTGCTGCTCACCAACCTGCAAACCATCCAGGTCGGTAGAATCATATGTACAGTATAAGAGTTGTTATCATCATCCATAACGAAGTGTTGTGTGCAGACACTCCCTATCGCGGGTCAGCGGGATCTCTAACCTAATAATGTGTTTTAATCGGTGCCAAATGACACGCCATGCCCTGCTTAGTCGGAACTAGAGCGCTCCAGTCAGCAAAGCTCCCTATTGATTGGAGAGCTCTAGCTCTGACTCCTCCATCAGACTTCTGCGGAGAGACCACTGCTTTTTGCACAGAGAGCCAAGGTCATTCCCTGCGCCATGCTGGCAGGGGACAGGCTTTTCTACTCGGACTGTAGCTGCTTACTGAAGAAAACCAACTGTAAGTACTTTACACCATTCATTTTTTTTTTTTGCATTTGGCTGATTTCACTTAAAGGAGAACTATGAGGTGTGATTTTTCACTCGGCCTCATAGTACGAGCCGACGTGTGCCAATGAGACTGTCACAGGTCGGCTCAATAGATCGGGAAGTGAGCGAACACATACCGGCGTTCCCTCACTTCTCGATCGTGTCCCTGCAGAGAGCCGTGACTATCACTCACGGCTCCTTGCAGGGATTTCCCGCTCCTCGTTTCGATCCTCCAGCGCTGACTAGTGGAACGGACGGGGGAGGGGGCGGGTACAGCTGGCTCTGCCTCTAGACAGGCAGAGCCAGCTGTCAATCACGCAGCTGGGTGGATCTCGACAGTAATGTCGTGATCCGGCTGCTGCGGTCCCTCGCTCACTTCTCGATTCTGTGCCGGCAGAGAGCCGTCATGGGAGGAACTGGTTTCCCCCCTCCCCTGTCCGATCCTCCAGCGCTGACTGGCGGAACGGACTTGGGAGGTGGGCAGCTGGGTGGATCTCGACAGTAATGTCGGGATCCGTCCCGGCTGCGGTGGTCGCGGTATACTGAGCTTTGGGTGACGGGAGGACGCTAGTTTGTGTCCTCCCGTGACCATTAGAACTATGGGGAAAACCACTTACCCAATATTTCTACTTTCCCATGGATGTTCTGTTCAGTGCACCAGTGATCCCTGCTTATGGGGTTAAGTCTAGTTCTCCTAAGGGTAACGGGAGGACACAAACTAGCGTCTTCCCGTCACCCTAAGCTCAGTATATAGGGAGCTACAGCTCGCGGTATACTGAGACCGACACGGCCGGGACGGATCCCGACATTACTGAAAAGCTTACCCAAAAGAGTCAAAACATTTTTTTTCCCAGATTATGGCGCCATTACTTTCAGCCACATTCTACTGTGTATACAGGGACAATCGCATGTTCTTTATGACTGATACCACGGACATTATACACAATCACATGTTCTATATGACGCCTCGGATATTGTACATGGCTGGCAATAGACGTTCTCTTGGTGCCATTCCAGACACCGCCAACTCTCATTGGTGGCTGTTCAAGATGTTTTTGCAGAATAAAGCTCTCTAATCATTCCTAGCAAGGTAGGTCTAGGTGTGTGGCCCACTATATTGGGGTTATAATTTAAGTATATCCGAAAGTTATTTCTTTTTTTGGGGGGGGGAGGGGTGTAAATCTACAACAGCGGTGGGCAACTCCAGCTCTGGTTTAACCACATATCCCATTATGCCTCTGAGTCATATCTGTAACTGTCCATCTTGCAAAACCTCATGAGATTTGTAGTTCCACAACAGATGGAGGGCCGGAGTTGCCCACCCCTGATCCCTAATAAAGGCCCTGTGAGAAATGACCTCATTGTGGCCCGAAGCTGCTGCGGTCACGGTGATCAGAAAGCTCAACAGCCTGAAATTCATATGAAACGTTTATCAAATTAAATATTCAGCCAAATGTACAGCCAATGAGGTATCGGCATGTCCACGTGGGGGATGAGAGTGGCCAAGTGTAACCATTTCACACTATAACAGTTTGGGCCAGGCCGCCCCCCCTAACTTTATCCCCAATTGCCAGGGTGATGGCACAAATATATCTACTTGCCGGTGTTAGGAACTGCCGGGATTATTTCACCTGAAATGTTACTTCAAATTTATTTCCATCCTAAACAAACTGGATATTTCCTTTTTTTTAAGGTTACTTTGGAAAGATCCGAGACGGAAATGAGGCAGCATTACCACAACCGGATCGAGAAACTGGAACAGGAGTTGACGCAGGTGAAGAAGAAGTTGGAGCACGAAATCGAACAGAAACACTTTCTGAGCAAGAACCAAGATGTAAGTCTTCTAATACTCCGGACTGTTGTCCGTCCTTTGTTTTAATGTTATTTTTAGAGCTCCTCGGGAGTAATAAAATCTCAATTTTTAGGTTCAGATTCTGGATCTGAAGAGACAGTATGAAGCGGAGGGAAATCTTCACAACAGCACCAAGGAGCTTCTGAAGAACGCCAACAAGGACATTTCTACACTGAAGCAGCAGCTGAGCAATTTCGAAGCTCAGCTGGCATCCCGATCGAGCCAGGCGGCATCTGCGCAAGGTAATATTTCGGGGGCTGGATGAAGCGTTATGAATTGCTGTATTACCTGTGGGCCCTGCAAATCAATGGCATTATCATAGTCTCACCTGTGCTCAGGTTTGTTACAGTCTTCGGAGTTGCCTTTAGTAGGCTGTGTATGTGCCCCATGGATAGGGAGGCAGCCCAGCATGATCTAAATTCACCATTGCAGGAGAAGTTTTTTTTTTTGACTTGCACATATACATAAAGTACGTCTGCGCATCAAAAGACAACTGGCTGCCATAATGCAACAGGAATTAAAGAGAAACTTCCACCTCCCAATAAAAAAACAACTATCTTTGTGCCCATTACTATTGGTTCTCAAATTTGTATTGCTATACTTACAAGCTTGGCATATCCAGCATTGTCCTTTTACTACTCCTCTTCTCTCACTGCTATTCTACTACCAGTCCCATACCGAGCACCCATCTTCGGGTGTCAGG